CCATCTGGTGATGTCCATGTGTAGAGTCTTCTCTTGTGTTGTTGGAAGAGGGTGTTTGCTATGACCAGTGCGTTCTCTTGGCAAAACTCTGTTAGCCTTTGCCCTGCTTCATTCTGTACTCCAAGGCCAAATTTACCTGTTATTCCAGCTATTTCTTGAATTCCTACTTTTGCCTTCTGGTCCCCTATAATGAAAAGGACATCTTTTTCAGGTGTTAGTTCTAGAAGGTCTTGTAGGGCTTCATAGAACCATTCATCTTCAGCTTCTTCAGTGTTACTGGTCAGGGCGTAGACTTGGATTACTGTGTTATTGAATGGTTTGCCTTGGAAACAAGCAGAGATCATTCTGTTTTTGAGATCTCATCCAGTTACTGCATTTCAGACTCTTCTGTGGAATATGATGGCTACTCCATTTTTTCTATGCGATTCTTGCTGACAATAGTAGATATAATGGTCATCTGAGTTAAATTCACCCATGCCAGTCCATTTTAGCTCTCTGATTCCTAAAATGTCAATGTTCACTCCTGCCGTCTCCTGTTTGATCACTTCCAATTTGCCTTGATTCGTGGACCTAACCATGTGCAAAATTATATAGCCAGTGGAAATTTGCCGTGACACAGGGGGCTCAAAACTGGTCCTCTGCAACAACCTAGAGGGGTGGGATGGGGTGGGAATTCAGAGGGAGGTTCTAGAAGGAGCAGACATATGTATACCTATGGGTGATTCATGTTGATAAATGGCAGAAACCAACACAACATTGTAAAGCTATTATCCTCCAATTAAAAAAATTAAACAAATAACAGGAACAAAAAACAATACCACAAATGGAATACAGTCTTTAATTTACAAGGTCTCAAAAATCTTAGTTAATATGAATGTCATTCCTATAAATATAGCTTCCTGATGTTATTATACTTGTGGCATGAAAGAAAAATATATACTATTTTCTTTTCAAGCTTAATTTAAATAAAAAGAATTGGGGGGAGTGGAGGTTTTCTTTTTTTTTACTTAAAGAATCTGAATTTGATCTTCACCTAGGTATCGTCTATTTCCGACTGAAATGCATGAAGTACGATGAGATAATGTAAAACTGATAGACTGTACATGTAATTCAGTTTATAAATACTCATCAAAAACACAAAATGAAAGATATATAACATTACCCACAATATCCATGGTCGTACATACCACATTTGATTTCAATACCTGCCCAACTATCCACGTTTTTTTCCTATGCACATTCAATAGTCGTAGTTAATTTATCTGCGTTTCCCATTAGAATGCGTGTTTCTTGCCATCAAGAGTCTTTTTCCATTCCTTCGTGTTTGTAGCTTCTAGGTCTCTACTTCAAATAAATTAGCTGTCTTATAAGAGGTTTTGATAATGAGTAAATGAGGGAGGGAGGAGAAGGAAAAGGGACACAGAGGAGAAAGTATAAGCTCCTAAACCATGACAGAGGCGCCTCCCCAAGGAGGTGTGCATAAGACACTCCAATCTAAGTGTTCTTTGTACATTAGCATTTCCACACTTGCTTCTGTCAGATAGTGCAAAACACGTGGGCTGCAATGACTAAAGAATTTTAAATCCAGTGGATCTGAAAAAAATAAACACATAGTTTATTCAACACAAGTATTTATTGGGTTTTGAAAAATAGATACTTAATTGCTATTAAAGACCTTCTTCTGGGTTGTTCTACTTTTTAACTATAGAAACCCCAGGCAAATAACATAACTTCTGTGACTCAGGGTCCCTAAATGCAAAATGAAGATGAAAATATCAGTCTTCCCTGTTTTAGAAAGTCATGAAAACCAAAGAAGTTAATGTGATATAAGGTGATGGTCAGGTTCCAGTAAAAATATTTGACATGTTAGTGCCTAACCATCTGACTGTTTATACTTTTAAGATTTCTTTTGTATATCTAAACTCAAATAATATACTTTTGATTGTGAAATAATATTTGATAAACCTTGTTAAACAATTTATCTTCACTAAATTATTTTGTATTTTAATTTAGTAATTTATTATGCTGTTAAATCCATGACAGGTGTTTCATCAGACATAGTTATAGAACAAAGAGCAAACACTCAGCTTGCTCACAAAATCACACCTGAGAGGGCTTCTTCTGACATCAGATGAAATAATTTCAAATCACAGAAGATTTTATACAATTCAATAGAGAAATCAAAGGCTCAAAGAGAGACATCAGAAGATAAAATGAGGTGAAAATATAATTATGAAAGGCAAGTTAGCAGATAATTCGTGTAGCATACCTGTGTGCCTGCTGTAGTTTGCATATGCAGAGCTGTCATATGATATTCAAGAAGTAGGATTTGTACCGAGGAATTTTTAACATAAACACAGGTAAATCGTACAGAGTATATGTATATTGGCAGGATTTTTAATGAGCTGAGCTACACAGAAATATTAAAAAAGGAAATATCACACATAGAATCTAAAGAAATAATACAAGTAAATCTATTTACAAAACAGATGCAGTCACAGACATAGAAAACCAACTATGGCTACCAGAGGGGAAAGGGAGGGCAAAGAGGGATAAATTAGGAGTATGGGATTAACCAATACACACTACTATATAAACAATTAAAAAGCAACAGGATTCACTGTATAGCACAGGGAACAATGTTCAGTATCCATGGTAACCTGTAATGGAAAATAACCAGAAAAAGCTATATGTATATAGATAGATAGATAGATGAACCACTTTGTACACCTGTAACTAACACAGTATTATCTATCATCTATTAAAAAGTAAAAGCCATTTATTAGTCAAAAAAAGAAAACACAAACTAAAGTGAGATTTCCAAAAGAATCACAACCACACACATACACACACATAAACTTATACATATACATACATACACATGCTAGCCTTAATGTTTTGCAAACAGACTTGTCAAGGAAACCTGTTTGTATTCTTAAATCTCTCATTGCATATGTGCATACCCATATAGACAAAGTACATGTTTTTAATATGCTGTCAGCATCTGGCTGCATTTACTTAATCATTTACTTACTAGTACATGAATACACAATAAAACATTGCAAAGTCATACTTTGCACGTGTGAAGAGAAGAGAGAAGCCTGGCCCAGTGTTTAGGGTCTGAGGCCTCTTAAAATAAGTTGTGAATTGCCCTTTTTAATCAGGACACCGAGGAAGAGAAGGATTTCTTTTAAGTGCAGGCACTTCAGAATTCCTGGTGTCAAGTGGAAGCCCACAGGCCTCAGAAGCCAGGCTCTTCTCCCTTGAAGAAGTTTCAGTGCATGCACATTAGATGCTTACATGCCCTTGAATGCAGCCTATTATAAGGACCACAAAGAAGAGATCAGTGAAAAGAATTTCTTACAGAAATAGGCACCACCCCAGGAGCCAGTTTTAGGCTGGGAGTAATAGAAAGATAAAATAGAAAGGTGGTGACCTTCATTCTTCATCTCCCTACAACTTGATGGCTTATTTTTGATATAAATCCTTTTAGCTAAAATATAGACTTTAAAAAAAGCATTAAAAACATCAGACTTTAGTGAGGTGTGGGGAAGAGGGGGTGCCTGTGGAGCAGAACTCTGATTACACAGAGGGGGTCAGCTCTTTTTACAGAACAAAATTTATTTTGTATGATTTACTCTCAGAGCTCATTCTTTATATCAACTCACCCTATGAGCTCATCAATTAATTCCAAATATTTTAGAATAGAGGTGGATGGTACTCTTTAAATAAAATCTAAAATGTTTGCTCATATGTCTTCCTATATGCTGCTACCTTCAGCCATTTTCATCTGGCTCTTATGAAAATTTTGAAGTAACTTACTAAATGCACCAAACAAAACTAACATTCTAATCTCAGGAGCCTCCCAGTTATTACATAAAAAATAATTTATGTAACTCCTACTTTGCTCATTATCTTTCTTTACTTTGCATGTGTATTACTTTAGCTACTAATTACCCTGGTGTATGCATGCTACTTAACTCATTTTCATTCCAACCTGTCCCTAACTCAATTTTCAGTGACTTCAACTCATTCAAAGTAAAAAGAGAAAGTGTTAGCCACTCAGTCGTGCCTGTCTCATTGCAACCCNCCAACAACTGATGAAATTAGAGACACCAGAGCAGAAACCTCAGCACTGAAGTTTCCAAGCTTGTAAATGGCAAAGCCAGGTGACTCAGGAATCCCAATTCCTTTCCTTTAGGGTGGGTATTCTACTGCTTGGAAAGGAAGTCCTCTGTGGAGGCTACCATCAAAGTTATGAAGGCTGATGCTTACGGGACTAGCAGGGAAGAATTCTGGAGTTTGGAGAGAATGTATTAGATGGGGAACCTGAAAGAACAATGGAAACTAGAAAAGAAGCCGCAGCTGGGTGTAGCACTAAGGCAACAAACATTAAAATGAGGACCTTGAGCCAATCACTTAATATCTCCGGGTACCACGCATTTACTTGAGTTTGAACAGGCCAGTAAGTAGAGGACCTGTGTGGGTCATTTGTTCTCTCAAGTGCCCTTTTTCTTGTTTTTACAGATGAATAAACAAACACAATCTAAGTCTCAAAAATAATAGAGTCAATTGTGGAACTAGAAAGCAAAGAATTTTGCAAAATTATGGTGTAATCTCTACTTTGTCTAAGCCTTAGGGTTGTTTGGTATGGACAGAGGTCAAGGATGTTTTGAGTTGAAAAAAATGCAACTTGTACCTCAAACTGAAGAGTATCTATGATTCAGACCAAAGAACTTTGTGTCCTCAGGGCCAAAACCTGAGAATAATAGTTTTGGAACAGCTGAGAAAGTGCCAACAGACAGGAAAGAGTGATAGATTCAGGGGTAGATAGAGTAAAAAAAAAAAAAAAAATACAGTGGATGGACAACTGTAAAAGGAAGGTTCTGGCAAAAAAATGGCATCAAGCCAAGCCAGGATGAATTTATCTCAAAATGGGCATACATGGTGTAACATCCTTTTGCATTTCAACTTAATTCTGTCATTGTTTTGGTTACTTTTAGACACTTCTACAGTAGTAAAAAGAATGAAGAGAAGACATAGCAAAAGAAACTCAACAGCAAAATGTTCAAATTTTTATGGTTCATAATTTTCTGAAAAGCAAAACTAAGAATTCAAACATAGCAAAACAGGATGTGTTTGCTTTGAATGTGCATTTAATCTCATGAAAATTAGGTATTCTAATACCTAATTTACTGTGATTTCTGAGGGCTTCTCTGGTGCCTCAAACAGTAAAGAATCTGCCTATAGTGCAGGAAACTCGAGTTTCCTCCCTTGGTCAAAGATCCCCTGGAGAAGGGAATGGCAACCCACTCCAATATTTTTGCCTGGAGAATTCCATGGACAGAGGAGCCTGGCTACAGTCCAGGAGTTACAAAGAATCAGACAAGACTGAGTGACTAACATTTTACTGTGATTTATGTAGGAGTAGATACGTTTCCAGTATGGCTCCACAGAAGTGAAGTCTAGCCCCAAGCCCACTACTAGAAATGGTAATGGCATTTGAATCCATCAGATTTCCTCTGTGAGTTTCATTTGCTTCCTCTGTATAAAAGGGCCCTTGAACCAGAACACCTCCAAATCCCTTTGAAATTCAAAAATGTTGTAATTTTGGAATCACAAAATTCAGATTCTGGTCATTTGATTCTTCTTTTACATTTTTATCTCCTGCTGGAAAAGTGATGTTCTTGGCCACTCAGTGAAATTGGGAGGCAAGTGACAGGGGTAATTGATATTTCTATAGACTGTGAGATATCTAACTAGACAGATCTTTTTGAGTCCTACCTCCAAGACTTACTGGCCAGAGAACTGCAGCAGGTTGCAAAGTCTAAGATCACCCATTTGAAAATGCTGTTGGCTCTAACTCTGAGTGTGACTGTGGCGATTGAATAAGACAGTGTCTCAGTGTCTGGCACATGGTCTGCAGCCCATAATTTTTTCTTGCTTGCTTTCCTTTTGGATTAAACTGACATAATACATAGTTTGTAGCTAAAAGAGTAAGACATAATAAATGACTTGAAAAACAGTAAATTTCTGCTGTCTGTCATAATGAGTATTTACCACCAGCCCCAATACACGGACCATCCATTCGTGATCATCTTGACCTGCCTTCACAACCCCCAGGCTCATCTCTTTTAATAACATTTTTAAATAAAGTGAAATAAATAATGCAGATATGAAATCTACAGCACCACTAAATTTCCGTTTTGAATTTCTATAAATACTTATTCCTAATGATTCCCCTGAAAGTTCAGTAATTAGTACAAGTGGTTTAAACCAAAGCATTTTTGGCTTCATGACAATAGATAGAGCTACTATGGTTATTTATTGTATGAACTGCTGTACACCTTTCTTTCTCCCCGGAGTGATGTTAATGTGTTCTGGTAGCAGCAGAAGAAAACAGTTGTCCTAGCTATATCACTCCCAGCGTTGGCAAAGCGTCACTTTAATTCCTCTTTGAATTGACATGGAATGAATCAGAAGATTCTGTTCTTGAGTGGTTCAGTTTATTCAATATCTGTATTTATGCAACCTTAATATACATATGCATCTTCAAAATAATCATACAACACACATATTCATGCATATACTTACTCAAAGGTAATTCTTAAAAAATAAATTACTTCATCTATAGGTGCTGATTTTCTTCAAAGCACACTGGCACTGCTAACACCTAGTACACGGTCCTAATTTGAGGACTCATTCTTTAAAGGGGCTGAACAAATTCCAATTTGCCATATCAAGTAGGCTCATAAGAAAAGGGTTATCATTTTTTTTAATGAGTGGGGCTCTGACCCCTTCATTCAAGGTCAGACTGTGAAAATATTAAAATGACACATGAGGCATGAATATTCATTTGACACCTAGATATAAACAAAGCATTATTGTTTTCATAAAAGTTACTGGTGTGGTAGAGATTTCTCATTAAAAGACAAATTTTCGGTTGCAAGCTGTTACTAGCTTACCAAAACACTGTCTGCTTTTACAATATGTATGGCATTCCATCCAGAATGCCACATGGGCAGCCACTCTCTCAACAGGTTTTGGCATCCTGAAATACACACCCGGGATCGGTCCCTCCCGAAATCAGATTACTAACTTGTAACCAGTTTTATCTGTGTCCAAGAGGGCTTCAGGCAGAGCTGATGATTCACGGGCTGAAAATGGTCATTCCCCTCCATTCCCTCTTCCTGCACCATCAGATGGCTTCACATTCTGCCTCTTCTTGCCTGAACTGCTCCAAGAGTGTTCTGATTGGTCTGCCAAATTCCAGTCTTACTTCTTTCAAATCTGTTTTTCATATTGCAGTCAAATCTGATCTGGCCTCTCTTTTAAACAGTCANCTGCACCATCAGATGGCTTCACATTCTGCCTCTTCTTGCCTGAACTGCTCCAAGAGTGTTCTGATTGGTCTGCCAAATTCCAGTCTTACTTCTTTCAAATCTGTTTTTCATATTGCAGTCAAATCTGATCTGGCCTCTCTTTTAAACAGTCAACACTGTGAACATGACTGAGTGGCCCCTGGTGCTTCGTCTTGTTGCTTCTCTGCCTTGTGAGCTGTGTCCCAGCCATCCTGAGACACTTGCAGGGCTCAGAACTGGATGCGGATGTTCTTGCCTCTGGGCCTTCCCAGTGGATCAGGGGTAAAGAGACTGCCTGCATTGCCATAGACATGGGTTCAATCTCTGGGTTGGGAAGACTGCGCACACAGGCACTCTTGCCTCTAGATCTCTGCACGTTCTGTGCCCTCTGCCCAGACTGGAGGCTCTCCTCCTCACAACCTTCCAATCAACTGCTAGAGCTTCACTAGGAGAACTCCTGGCTTCTCTCCTTTAGTTATTCATGCAGCTGTGGCTCCCCCTAAGAATGCTTTCCTGACACTCCTCCAGCCTCTTCTTAGGAGCTCATGCTTCGTCCCCACATGACACTGGGACTGACCATTCTGTACCGTAGCTTCTGGGCTCCCCTTGTAGCTCAGTCTGTAAAGAATCTGCCTGCAATGCAGCAGACCTGGGTTCAATTCCTGGGCTGGGAATAGCCCCTGGAGAAAGAAATGGCAACCCACTTCAGTATTCTTGCCCGGTAAATCCCATGGACAGAGGGGCCTGGCGAGCTACAGTCCCTAGGATCACAAAGAGACAGACATGAGCTAGCAACTAAACCACAACCACCATAATTTCTGGTTTGCTTTTTTGTCTCTCCCATAAAATATTGTTCTGATTGGTCTGCCAAATTCCAGTCTTACTTCTTTCAAATCTGTTTTTCATATTGCAGTCAAATCTGATCTGGCCTCTCTTTTAAACAGTCAGCACTGTGAACATGACTGAGCGGCCCCTGGTGCTTCGTCTTGTTGCTTCTCTGCCTTGTGAGCTGTGTCCCAGCCATCCTGAGACACTTGCAGGGCTCAGAACTGGATGCGGATATTCTTGCCTCTGGGCCTTCCCAGTGGATCAGGGGTAAAGAGACTGCCTGCATTGCCATAGACATGGGTTCAATCTCTGGGTTGGGAAGATCCCCTGGAGGATGCCCTGGAGGAGGGCATGGCTACCCCTGCAGGATTCTTGCCTGGAGAACCCCATGGACAGAGGAGCCTGGTGGGCTGCAGTCCATGGGGTCACAGAGCCGGACACGCTGAAGCGACTGCGCACACAGGCACTCTTGCCTCTAGATCTCTGCACGTTCTGTGCCCTCTGCCCAGACTGGAGGCTCTCCTCCTCACAACCTTCCAGTCAACTGCTAGAGCTTCACCAGGTGAACTCCTGGCTTCTCTCCTTTAGGTATTCATGCAGCTGTGGCTCCCCCTAAGAATGCTTCCCTGACACTCCTCCATCCTCTTCTTAGGAGCTCATGCTTCGTCCCCACATGACACTGGGACTGACCATTCTGTACCGTAGCTTCTGGGCTTCCCTTGTAGCTCAGTCTGTAAAGAATCTGCCTGCATTTTCACCCTAGATAATATACATGTTTCGATGCTGTTCTCTTGAAACATCCCACCCTCGCCTTCTCCCAGAGTCCACAAGTCTGTTCTATGCATCTCATGTCCAACTTTTATAACTCCATGGCTGCAGCCCACCAGGCTCTTCAGTCTATGGGACTTCCCAGGCAAGGATACTGGAGTGGGTTGCCGTTTTCTTCTCCAGGGGATCTTCCTGACCCAGGGATTGAATACAGGTCTCCTACGTTGCAGGCAGACTCTCTACTGACTGAGCTACCATGGAAGCCCCCTTTGAAGGGCAGAGTCCTAACTACTAGACTGCTAGGTAAATCCCTAAATGTTCTTCTTTCTAATGGACCTACTACTTCACCTACCCCCTCACTGCAGGCTTGCTCTGCCAGCATTTGATTGTCTATTCCTTCATGTTTGCATTTTCTTTCTGTAAGGTGAGCTCAGCCAGTTGAGAGATCACACGGGCGCCAGCGTTTATAATCCTGCATCCATGTGGCCATGAGAATGTTTGTGCTGGATCTGAGAGAACGGGCACCTGTGTGTTCACATGTGTGGAAGGATGCCGCTGCTCCAATATGTGCTCCATTGTTGCTGTAAACTCCCCTCTAATTTTGTCTATTAAATCGACTGATGTACATAAGACTATTGGGAACTGTAGTTTTCTTAGGTTACGGTTGACTTTCTCTGAATCAGAAGTGGCTGATTCTCTTTTAAAATATTCTGTTTAGGGTGATAAAAAACAATTTGAAAATAGATCATAGCGAGAGTTGTACATTGTTGATGTAATTAATGCCACTGAATTGTATGCTTAAGTGGTATTAATTGGCAAGTGCTATACATATGTATATTTACATACATATATGTATGTGATGTATACATATACACATATGTATATAGAAAGAATTGTAGTTTAAAAAAATCAGTAATGGTGTATACTAAAAACCATTGAATTGTGCAGTTTAAATGGGTGAACTTGTCTGAGATATGAATTACATCTCAATCAAATTGTTAAAAATGTTCAAGGGAGAGATATGGATACAGCTTTTCACTACCCACAATTCTAAAGAAAGGTGCTCCTTTATTCATGGGATTCTCTTGGCAAGAATACTGAAGTAAGTTGTCATTTTCTTCTCCAAGGGATCTTCCCCACCCAGGGGTTGAACCTAAGCCTCCTGCATTGCAGGTGGATTCTTTACTGACTGAGCCACTGTCTATTCTATTCAATAATAGAAGAAAGAAAATAACATCTTATGCAATCATTATGTATATAAACAGTAATATAGGGCTTACTGGTTACTGTTACAGTACATCCTATTACTTGTGTACATTTTGCCAGCTGTAAGTTTTCAGAGATTTATTTTAGGTCTTTTGTCCTTTTGTCTGTTTTATGGACAATTATCAGAGGCTCTTTATGCTCCCAAACTGGAGGCACTTTATCTATGCTGACACTAGGTGAGCATCACATATACATCCAAAGACACTAGCACTAGCCTAGGTAAGAAATCTAAGTCAGACTGTGAAGAGTTATGGATGGCCCTATGCATAAATGCTTTTCATTTTGGTATAAAACCTTTTCCTGTGTTGTACTGCTAATGATTTCCATCATTGAAATTTTTGGCTCTCAAGTGAAAATGTAGGCATGGAATCAGCATATGGAAATATATATGTGGAACAGAGTAAAAATAAGACAACATGTGGGTGTTGAATTTTGTGTTTTGATTTGTTTTCATTTCAGGCTGGACCCAAAGAACAACAAAAAAAAAGTTATCCAATCCAACCTCTTACTTTTAGTGAGGCTCAGTAAAAACATTTCAGCAGCCTGACTTTCCAAATGAGCCCTGGCTATGGATCACTCATATTTCTGAATATCTGGTTTCAATTCTACTCTAGTCCATCCCATCCCATCCAATCCTAACAGGGACTACCACCCTCAGTCCATCCTTCTGTTAGAGCGCACTTGTCAGTAAACAGAAAAAGTTACAGTGGTCTGATTAATCTAGCCTCTTTCTGCTCCGTTACATGGATGTTGAGAACATACAGAAAATGTGTCAGATACCCAAGATCTAGAGAATCAAAGAATATCAGGGAGAGATAAAAAGACTTTCTTCAATGAACAATGCAAAGAAATAGAGGAAAATCATAGAGAGGGAAAGACTAGAGATTTCTTCAAGAAAGCTGGAAATATCAAAGGGACATTTCATGTTAGGAGGGGCATGATAAAGGACAGAAACAGTAAAGACTTAACAGAGGCAGAAGAGCTTAAGTAAATGTGGCAAAAATATACAGAAGAACTACACAAAAAAGATCTTGATGAGCTAGATAATGACTATGGAGTGGTCACTCACCTGGAGTCAGATATCTTGCAGTATGAAGTCAACTGGACCTTAAGAAGCATTACTATGAACAAAGCTAGTGGAGGTGATGGAAGTCCAGCTGAGCTATTTAAAATACTAAAAGATGATGCTGTTAAAGGGCTGCACTCAATTGTCAGCAAATTTGGAAAACCCAGCAGGGACCACAGGACTAGAAAAGGTAAGTTTTCATTCAAATTCCAAATTAGGGTAGTCCTAAAGAATGTTCAAACTGCTAGAAAGTTGTACTTACACATGGGAAGTAAGAAAGAAAGCAGTGGAATTCCAGAAGAACCTCTACTTCCGTTTCTCTGACTACTAGGAAGCCTGAATCACAACAAACTGTGGAAAGTTCTTAAAGAGATGGGAATACCAAACCATCTTACCTGTCTCCTGAGAAACATGTTTGTGGGTCAAGAAGCAACAGTTAGAACCAAACATGGAAAAAGAGACAAGTTCAAAATTGGGAAAGGGGTATGAGGAGGCTGGATACTGTCCCCCTGCTTAGTTAATTTATATGCACAGCACATCATGCAAAATGCCAGGCTGGATTAGTTACAAGCTGGAATCAAGATTGCCAGGAGAAATATCAGCAGTCTCAGATATGCAGTTAATACTATTTTAGTGACAGAATGCAGAGAACTAAAGAGTCTCTTGATGAGAGTAAAGGAGGAGAGTGAAATAAACTGGCTTAAAATTCAACATTAAAAAATCTAAGATCATAGCATTCAGTCCCACTACTTCATGGCAAATGGAAGGGGAAAATGTGGAAGGAATGACAGATTTTCTCTTCTTGAGCTTGTAAATCACTGTGGATGGTGACTGCAGCCATGAAATTAGAAGATGTTTGCTTCTTGAAAGGAAGGCTATGACAAATCTAGAGAGCATATTAGAAAGTAAAGACATCACTTTGCTGACAAAGGGCCATGTAGTAAAAGCTATGGTCTTTCAAGTAGCCACATATGGATATGAGAGTTGGACCATAAAGAAGGCTGAGCATTGAAGAACTGATGCTTTTGAATTGTGGTGCTGGAGAAGAGACTCTTGAGGGTCCCTTGGACTGCAAGGAGATCCAACCAGTCAATCCTAAGGGAAATCAACCCTGAATACTCACTGGAAGGACTGATGCTGAAGCTGAAGCTCCAATACTTTGGGTACTTGGTGAGAAGAACTGACTCGCTGGGAAAGACCCTGAAGCTGGGAAAAACTGAAGCAAAAGGAGAAGAGGGTGGCAGAAAATGAGATGGTTGGATAACATCACTGATTCAATGGACATGAACTTGGGCGAACTCCAGGAGATAATGAGGGGCATGGAGTCCTGGCATGCTGCAGTCCATGGGGTCTCAAAGTCATGCGGGCACGACTTAGAGACTAAATAAGAACAACTCAAGATCTAGACCCTAGACTACTCTATTATAAAGATCACACACCTCACACTGGAGTGTCTAGAAAATAACTAAACCAATGAAACCTCTGAAAAAACATCTTTTCTGGAGGATGTAAGCTAGCATAAACTACTTAAAAAACAAAACTTTAAGGAAATGACTATTAAGTACATTATCTAACCAATTGTCTTACCACCATGCTCCACTTTACTATTTGCAGGACACCCTGATTATACTATTTAGTCATATCTCTTTTAATAATAAACTTAATGACTTCAATTAAGTCATATTCTCTACATCTGTGAAATCTGTTCCTTTGGGCTGTTATAACAGAAAACCATGAAATGGGTGGTTTAGCAACAACAGAAATTTATGTCTCAAGGTTCTAGAGACTCCAATCCATGATAAAAGTGCCAACAGATTCAGTGCCCAGGGAAAACCTGTTTTGTGGCTCATAGAAGGTCATCTGGTAGGAGGGGTAAGGGAGTTCTCTGGAGTCTCTTCTACAAGGGCATTAATCCTGGCTCCCAAAGAATGTTTCCTAATATTACAGAACCTGAGAGAAGATTCTCAACCTTATCACACCTACCTCCCCTTTTATTACAAATATTTGACATTCTCTCCACTATACGGAAATGAAGTTCATAGATAATATAATCTACAGTACATACAACTTCAAAGAATCAATATAATGGCATGACATGTAAAAAGAAAATAAGAGGAAAGTAATTTATCATAAGGTACTGTGTAGTTTACATGTAAATTTTTGAAAACTGCACTAGAAAACAAAATAAAGTGATTACACATTTGCATCAGTTAGCAATAACTTAAATGAAAGAGCTACAAAGCTTACTGATTTAGGTGTGTTTTATTTGCTATATAAATTCCACTACAATAAGAGTGTTGGTAATTTGATTTTGTTATGTAAGAAAAAAATAATTTTACAGTTCTGAACAAAATAAAGTGCAGCCTTCCCTAGATTTATGCATTTGTATTCCAGGTAACTCAGCATACACTATGATCATGAAAAAAAAATCACTTTGTGTTTATGTGTATAAAAGAATTATGTTCCAGTCCCAGAAAATTAAAATCTGTTTCTGACTCACAAAAATATCTGGTGGAATACTCCAAAATCCTATAAAAATTAGACAAATTTTCAACATGCTGGCTAGCTAGCAACCCAGGTCACTCCTCCTAAAAGGCTCTCATTCCTCTAAACTTGAGACAACTAAAAATGCCTTCATAAATGCCCCAAAAGTCCTTTAGAAAGAAGTTCCACCCACCATGAGAACTACGTTCTAGGTTTGCCAGCATGAGTTATTCTTTCTAGGCTGTGTCCTGGACAGCCCCGGTCCCTTGGTGGACTGGGTGTCCTCACACTGCTGACCGCCAATGGTTTTACTTTGGGGATTAGGTTCTCTAGAGCATTAGATTGTACATCTGGTGTCTTTTTACATAGCTCACATATTTCAAGAAGGCATCCTCTCCCCTTTATGATTCTACCTAAATGTCAACAGGAAAATCCATGGGAATCTCCCCCTGATTCCTATTCTTCCTGTAGCTCTGAAGGTCCACCCAGGGGCTCTCATACCTTGTCTTGAGGCTCAGCCTCACACACTGGGTCAGGATGCACCAGATAAGCTGTCCCTTCTATTTCTGAGAGAGACTTCATTCCAACTCTGCTGTCCTTCCTGTCCCTTAATAAGGTTGTGTTTATTTTGCAAAGGGACAAATCCACCCCTAGTCAGGATTATCGAGGTGAGACGGTGGACACTCAGTGACCTTTCAGTCCTCTCAGCAAATAAACACTAGACTGAATATTGAATCTGGGATTCCGGTGAACTGTACTAGACAGAACTTTGCACCCCAGGAATATGTCCTCAGCCTTTCTTCATTTTTCTGAAGTCAGCAAGGGTGTGGGTTTTGTAAGTGTGAAACAAAATGTCACAACTTCTCATACTTGATCTGCTCCAAGCTTTCTATTCTCTTCCCTCCCGAAGCATGGACTTCCCTGCTAGCTCAGACCGTAAAACGTCTGCCTATAACGTGGGAGACCTGGGTTCAATACCTGGGTCAGGGAGATGCCCTGGAGAAGGCAATGGCACCCCACTCCAGCACTCTTGCCAGGAAAATCCCATGGACGGAGGAGCCTGGTAGGCTACAGTCCATGGGGTCGCAAAGAGTTGGACAGGACTGAGTGACGTCACTTTCTTTCTTTCTCCTGAAGCAACATCTAAAAATAATCAGTCGATGTAAACTGGGAAAATGCCACACTTTTCTTCTCTGGGCTAATCCAGCCCTCCTCTGCCTAAGCCTAGGACAGCATTTTCCTTGGAAGAAAAATCTGATCATGATGATATAAGGAGAGGAAAGGAACAATTAACCATCTACAACTGCATTTAAGGTTGTCATGAGGCATATTCACAGCAATTAATATCATTTAACAGATTAACTCTGGAATAGTCGTTTAGTTATAAAACTTCTGCAATGTAGTTTAAGTGGAAATATTTTTTAAACTGTGACAGACCACGCCCCCCCCCCCAAAAAAAAGCACAATACACACACAACTATTCTCCAAACCCTCATTTTCCCCTCTATTCCTTTCGGTTATTTTCCTGCTTTCTCTGGGGAGAAACCCCCAGCCCGCATCTATACACACACACACACACCCTTGTGAGCAGAGATAAATAAAGACGAGTCACTTCTTCCGCTCCCTTTCTTCTGTGATTCGCATCTGTGAACAGTTGTCCGTTTGTAGTCGCTGCCTGCTGGCAAGAGCAAGTCTACTTCTTAATCTATTTCACATGATGAGGGCCCAAAGAGAGATCACTCCGTTTTCCCTTAATTTTGCTAAAGAGCCTGTGCTTCTCAGGGTGGAGCTTAGAAAGAAAACCAGCAGGAAAGTCAAGCGCACTTGATGGAAAAACAGCCCACAGCTCCGAGTTTCACAGGTCGGTGGAGCCCCCGCAGCTCTGCCCGGGAGCAAGCCTGAGGTATCACGCCTCTCCGCCAACGTTGCAGGCACACAGTTCACAACACATTAAGAAATGAGACTTTCTCATTACGAGGCAGTCTACTCAACTGAGTTATCAGAGGATCGAAATAAAATGATTTCAGGCATCCTTTCTTAAAAGAAAAACACAGGACATCCATTAGGAAATGAATCAGAATTCCAAAACTGGTTTTTGGTTTTTTTTCCCCCTAGTAGTATGGGAATAGTGATAAAAGCGGTAATTGTAATTATTATTTATAAAACGCCTAATACGTACCACACACAATACTTAATATTTTATCTGCTTTAATATTATTTCTGACCTCCACTCTGTAAGAATGAAGGTAATATTCATTCTTAATTCAGGTAGAAGTAAGAATATTTGGGGGAGACACAGTACTCATTGTCATTAAATTATATCTTACTTTTAAAAAATTAGAATATTAGTATGACTGAATGCTAATCTTAGCCTGATAACATCTATTGCACAACACTCTATTTTAAATTTTGTGTATGAGTTTTTGAGCCAGTTTCATTTATGCTCAATGTTTTAAATAAACTGAATGTAAATACTGATGCAACATTTTCAACTTTCTGTTTTAGATGATTAAATATTCGTTAGGGTAAAATTGTTAGACTATATCCATTAACATGCTCTAAACAGAAGTTCAAGCAATATAGTAATTGTTTCATTTCTTTT